ATACCCATCATCCTAAAGCCCAAAATCAAACACACAATCTGTATGTAGTAGACACCACAATAATAGATGATTCCATGTTTCTCATCCTTAAACAGCCATAACAACCATTGACTGTAATCCTACACAAACTTTTTTGTCTGTCCATAGTTAATATTCCTTTCCCAGCAAGCCTCCCATGCGAAAAAAGCTATGCGGGGAGGGATAAACAACATCGAAACTTATTATATAAATATCACTGGTTCACCATTTCAAAAATAAAATGGAGCTCAGAAATCATTAAATCAGTTTATTCATCAGTCTCTGTAGGAAAAAAATGGAAAGAGTCAACAAGTGAAAGTGCACATTCTCACAAGACAACTAAACCCAGGCGAATTATAAACAAAGAAAAAGTAGTTGCACAAAAGCTATGCAAGTAAATGACTGCAAGAAGGTATGCTGTTCACCATTCAACGCTAAGCACTTTCGGGTTGCAAAAGAGTTGCCGAAGTAATTCTCTTTTCACAATTATTTGGAAAGATTCTTCCACAAGTTATCCGATATGCATATATGTTCAAATATTACAAACAGAATGGCCATTGCAATAAACTGAAAATGACAGAACTTACTGGCAAACTATTCAGAAGAGCTAGTGTCAGAGAGACATGGAACATGTAGATCAAACTCTTTTCCAATAGATTTGGAATATATGCACTGAAAGGAAATTCCAAATACGGTTGATAGGCAGTTAAACGAACTGCGTGCAGCATTGAGATCAAATCACCAACAAAAACAAAAGCACCAGCACAATTATGTTCGGTGAATTTAGATGTACTAAAATCCGCAGAAGAACTTCTTTGAAGTTCCAAGCATTCTGGTGAGTAAGGGCTTGAATACATGATCTCAGTCCATGTCGAACCTGGCAACTGATCTGGACTCAAACAGGACTCCCCCTATAAATATTTTCAAATAAGTACTTCAGTTCTTTAAATATATAATCTTCTACATGCTTAATGGAAATAACAAACATCAAGGTAGAGAAAAAAAAAGGTCCAAATACCTACATGAGAACATAAGCAGCTGCTTCCAACAGTTACAGCAGTCATCCACCCATCACCACACTTTCTAAGCTTGACAATATCCTTTGCGTTCAAACAAAAGCCATTCTTGCTTACATTTGGTTGACCATAGGCACTGACTAGATTACTTGATTCTGCTGATTCTAAGCACTGAGTGGTTACAAATGAACTGAGATCCTCAGGACAAGCAAATTGGTCGCTGGTCACCAACTGAATCTTATTGCTCTCTTCCATCAAAGAATTAGGAACGCAGTACCCCTTTCTGGCATCAGGTCTGCTAAATCTTTGAAGAAATAAGGAATCATTTGAGCTTTGAAGCATACGTTTATGTAACAGATCAGCTATCTCCATACACTCTCGTGGATTGTGAACGCGAATGCCATCAAAAGACAAAATCACATCTCCAGGAGACAAGTAACCAAACAATGGTGACACAGAAGGTACGTCCAAAACCTATTCAATTCAATGTAATTACTTCAGAAGTAGGTAAGGAACATGAATTTTGGATTGAAGGTCATAGTGTACTCAGTACCATGGGATTCTCTCCGTGAATATAAAAGGGAAATAAGATCAGGGGCAGGAGCAATAGCCCTAATCCACAAAGTGCGCAAAACTAAATACGTACATGCAAAAACATCTGTAAGCAATCAATAAAAGGAAAGTTTTCAAAGCATAATGTAATTGAAGCCAGTAGGGAATCAAAGGTATACAGTAGTACATAGGAAGTAGACTCACGACTGCATTATGCCAAATGCCGGCACAATAAACTCGAAGAGAAGTAAAGCGTGGTGAAGCTCGCAGCAAATCATAATCGAAAGCAACGAGTGCGCCGGGAAAAAGAGTTGCAAGGAAAATGGCCACGTATTCCAAGCGTATGCCATCACTGCTCTCCAAGGCGAAAGAACAAAGCATTAGGATCTAGTGATAGCTATCGAGTATGGAGTAAAGGGTGAATATTAATAAGAAAAAGAGATAAAAGATACTAGAAAGACTAAAAAAGGAAAAGGAAGGCAGACCTAGCAGCAGCAAGAGCATGACCAAATTCATGAACTGAAACCGAAAGCAAGGTAGAAATGAATATATATGCAGCACCGGAAAGTGATACGTTCTGCATCCAAAAGAGGAACGCATAAAAAAAGAACTGTTTAAAGATTTTCTATATAAGAAAATTTAGCGTTAGAGAGAGGATTAACCGATCGCCAAAATCCAAAAACAAGGGAAGTGAGGCGCAGAGAGTTAGGAGGATGGAGAAGGTGAAGAGCAGAGGCTAGTTCCAGGAGAAGAAGCAACGAGACAAGTAGCAAAACGGTGAGCGCAAAGCCAACTCCTATGGAGAACCAAACCCTCAAATAGCGGGCGTGGCTGCGTCCCAGCCGAAAGAGCGGTTCATTGAAGGCATGCGTCTTCAAGTCGCAGTACCAGCACGAACTGTCCGTCAGTCTCACACCATCCTTACCATCGGGAGACTGCAGTGGAAGCAGAGTGTCGGACCGGCCTCTGCTTCTTTCTCCTCTCTTCAACCTAATAAACCTTCTGACTCGGTGTCTGCCTCCGCTTCCTCCTTCCATTAAGCCGCTTCTCGCTTCCAATCAAACGGCCCATAGAAATGTATCCCGTGTCCCTCATCTTGGTGTGTTCAGACCTCGTTTGGGCTTTTCTTTCTACGTTGCTTGGGCTACGGCCCATACGTTCTTTTTCTTGTCTTCTTCGACTTTTCTTCTAAATCAACATCGAGGGAATCTTCTCTCGCCTCTGACACGACACGGTCGTTATGCGACTTGCTTCCCTCCGAACGCTTTTACATCAGAATTTGGACGGGGAGGTATACGACGAGACGAGGAGATAGTTGCTGTGCTTTGAATTCGGTTATTGTCTGTTTGCAAGTGATTAGCATAATCATAGGTGAAATCCATGATACTGTTGCAGTCGCAGTCCAGGTTTCTCCTTCAGACCTTGTTGAATCGGCTTCACGAGTGCGTAATTCCTCCTTTTCCTTCATCTCCCACACTTCCTTTCTTGCTTAAACTAATAATGGCTATCATTTCAGTTTAATGTCATTGTCTTAAGGTACCAACTATATGTCTCATTTGATTTCGTTTCTTTGTTCTGTATCCCTAATTACTCTCTTTTAATTGTCGTCCACGGTTAAGGAGAGACTGTGTTCTTCCATTTTCGACTTCTTATTAGTTGTTCTGAACAGAAACAATCACCAAAAACACCTACTCGCTCCACCCGTTTTTGTTGCACTTTGCTGATATTTTTTATTTTTGTTCTTCAGCCTTGATAAAGGAGTTGAGCTTGATTACCACTGGGTTGAATTTGATGATGTACGTTACCACATTCAGGTGATTTATTTTCATATGGAATCACTATATCAGTAAATTTATGTTTTCTTAATTTGACGTTAATATAGTATAAGAAGTTCGATTTCCTGTTTCTAACTTGTTAAGTATTGCAGGTGTCTATGAAGAATCCACACCTCCTGTTGCTATCAGTATCATTACCCGCCCCACCTCCAGAAACTATCTTGTTTGGTGGACTCCCCTTTGGTGCCATCGAAGCTATAAAATCTGCATATGGCACAGCTGTACAAATTCTTGACCCTCCAAGGGATGGCTATAATCTCACCTTGAAACTAAATTTCTCAAAACTTCCTCCAGATGAAGGTTCAACGAGTTTCCTTTCTTAAGGTTATTATGAGCGTGTCATGAATATGCCAAAACACTTTGAATCAGCTTCCCAAACGTTTTCATCTTCACTCTCTTCTTCGGATTATGATTTTCCTGTTTTGTAGTTTTCTGAAGCAGGGGTTTTCTTTTTCTGGTAGATGTTTGCTTGATACTTCATGCATCTTACCTCCTCCCTCTATCTTGTGATACGTCGGGACAATTTTCATTCTTGATACATTTTCTGAGCTTGATTCTTCAAGCAATTTAAAGTTTAGGTGCAAGGACAAGTTTCTGACTGTTAGTAGTATGGAATTTGGGAATAAAAGGCTCTATTTGAACAAGTGGAAATGCCTAAGTTGACCCTTTTCCTACTTATGAGTCATTTTAGATGTACTGTCATCTCAGGGGATTAGAGTGTGAATTTTTATTTCTTTTTTATGTAATTCATATACGTATAGATATAGTTATTTAT